AGTCAAATCATAGGGAAATAATATGACACATGGCAGCTTTTAAAGAGCACCCTGTGGATAAATTTTTATATGTTCCGGATACACCACGTGGCTAGTGTGCCATCCAATAAACATAGGACATGTTGAATTATTGTCCAACTTACTGCATTTCTTTTTATAATATGTGGCGAGCTGCATTAGAAATATTTCATATATCCTCTGTCTATTGGATGGTACACCAGCCACATGGTGTACCCGGAACAACCAAAAATTACTCCATCCTGTGAGCATTTCTCATGTGTGGCCATATAAGATGGTAACACGTGTCATGCTTTTGTAATTTATTGTGTTTTATCTTAAACAATTCTGAAAAACTTTTATAAAAATCAGAAAAATATACCAAAAATTGCTACGAATTTCTTATGACATAGCATTCCATTATGAAGATCTAAAATCATGATTTCATGTATTTAAATTAATGAGAATCATTTGATCAAGGAAGCAAGAGTACATGTGATAGAATGGTTTGATTTATATCTATAAATAAAGTTGAGTTTTTATTATTGATTTGTATTTTTATAATTTAGAATTAGCATTTTGGAGCTTTAAGGAGAAGAGAATATGACAAGATATTCATAAGAATTTTTGTGTATTTTTATGATTTTTAATTTATTTATTATAAATTTTAGAAATTAAATTATAGAGAAATAATATGAAGTATAATAGATTGAAATGTGGCAGAGGCTTGGACATTGATTTCTATGACATGGCATGTGCGTCATAGACTTTGATTTCTCCTCCCTATTTTGTTTTCGTTGGCGCTCTATTTTTGGGTGAAATTCTAATTTCGCCCCACCCTCTTCTTGTTCCCTCATCCTAAAAAAATTCACGCTTCTTTTCTCTTTTCAGCACCAATGAGAATGGGTGGGTGGCGGAGATTAGAGAGGGAGGATGCAGTCCCGGCCCTGCCCAGGGGCAGTCAGTGCGACTGCCCTGGGCCCATTATTCCAGGGGCCCCAAATTTTATTATAGTAAGTGTTATATTATATTATAATAAATTGATTTAATATTTTTCCAAAATTTTTAGGAATAGGATATTGAGATGAATCTGAAATTTTTGGAACAAAGGATCCATGACGAGAGTTTTAAAAGAATTCTTTGATATTGGCTTGACTTGCATTCTTGAAATTCTTTGACTCACTGGTATGGTATCCATAATTGGACATTTGTTTTCATTATTTAGGAATATGGAAGACATTGCTCAAAGTCTAAAAATATTTTCGAATAAATACTTTCTCAAAAAATCCAATGCTTAGTTGATAAAACAAGAAGTATACTAGTATTAGTGATTAATGTGTGTAGGGCACATTTTAGATTTTCGCCCTGGGCCTTTGAAAACTCAGGACCGGCCCTGGGAGGATGGTGGTGGAATGGGCTGGGGTTGGTGTCTGCCGAATCGTCGAATAAAGAGGGAATGGGATGGGGAGGGAAGGTTTGGAGGGAAGGTTTGGAAGTTGGGAGAGCGATTGGGATGAGGTTGGGAGCTATGGTGTTGGCCGAGTTTGTTGTTTAATCTGGGGGTTTTAGTTTACTAGTGTTCATAACTGGAACTTGGGATGTCGAAGAGATAAGGGGAACAGAGAAAGAAAGTGGGAGAGAGAAGAAGGAAGAGGGATGGGTAATGCGGCGGGATGACTGTGCTGGGAAGGAGGCTTAGGTGGTGGCAGCTTGGGTGTCGGGGCTGGGCTTGGCGTCAGTGGGTAGGGAAGAGAGAGAGAGTGGCGGTGGGTGTGATGTTTGGATGCCTTGAGACGTGGCTGGACAAGATGGTGAGAAGGTGGTGATCAGGGAGGGTGGCGTGTTGGGTGGAGTCTGCGTAAGAGAGATTGAGAGAAATATGGAGAAGAGAGAAGGTGGAAGAAAGAGAGGAAGATGATATCCATATACCGAAAAATTAAAAAAAAAGAGAGGAATATGATCCGGATACATGGGTTTTTTTAATACCCGTTTCTACGTGAAATCTAATTGGACCCAACTTATAATCTTAACCGTCAAAGCTTATCCAACGGTGTATATAGAAGTTTGCACCAATTGTTCGCAAAAAGACGTTCTCGCTAGAGCCTAGCCCGGCAACAAAATGTCACTTAGTGAGCCATGATTACCCTTTGAATAGTATATTCGGCCCAACAGGTGTGGTATTTCTAAATGTTTGTATTTCCAACATGAGAACTAGCCCATAGTTTATTGGAGCATAAAATTTGGATCCAGCAAGATCGAAGTGATAATAGGCAGAGGTTTCCTGGCAATGGCGTGGTGTGAACCTAGAATTTGTCATGCCTTCATTTCAAGGGCCCATGTCTTTATAAAAGACACAAATAAGTCTCCAAATCGTATTGTCCTTTTATGTTCAAGAAGCTCCCACTAGTTGGATTGCTTTTGCTACGTTCTCCCTTTTTTTTATCTTAAAGAATAAAAAAACACATAATGATTTCATTTGCTTGACTCAGAATAATTCCTTTTTAAGTCAATGGATGGATGATCCTTTTTTTTTTTTTTTTTTTTTTGGTAAAAAAAAGGGCTAAGCCCAAAA